TTTATTTATTTATTTTATTTATTTATTATTATCATTATTACGAAGAAAACAGTGTCTAAGGAAAAAAGAAAGATCGAGAAAAAGAAAGAGACAGAGAAAACATGATGGCAAACCCATGTCTTCAATTCTCAATTCTAAAAGAATCTCTTTGTTTCTGAAGGTAGAGAAAACCATACCTGGTAATGGAGCACTAATAAGAGCAATATCCGCTGTTCTATCTGCAGCACAAAGACACATGAGAGAACAACAGGTGGGTAAGCTTGTATGGAAAAACCTTGACATATCGTAGCCCAAGATAAAGAAATTCCTAAACATGAAACAGTTCTCTACATATACAGGGTGACTGGGAAGGAGAATGGGGATGGAATTTGCGTCCCTTTTGTTTCTAGGTTTTGGTACCTTCATAGAGCATTTTCTTTCCCTTGACGAGGCAGCCGTATTGGTGTACCAAACAATAGAAACTTTCTGCACAGTTTTTACATARTAATAGAGTTCAATTCCCCGAGGATAGAAAATATAAAGTTTTGGTACCCCATCATGGCCGCCGTGAAGTCACGTGCAAACTCTATACTTAAAAGGAGAGGACATAAGTACGTTTTTCCAGCTTTCACCTTGCAAATCCCGCCTTATCCCCACTAAAACATGTGTTACTAACTTATTATATAATTGTATGGATTCAAATACAGGATGAATGTAGTTTCGTCAGTCTACGGGATGTCGAAAGAGCAATGACTATCATGACGTGGTTCTACGAACATCATTCGTTGCTTAGACCCCAGGCTACCTCAAGTGAAAAGCCTAAGAGCGACGACGAGAAAAGCGAAAATGAAGATGAGAAAGAGACACAAAAAGAAGAGGTATACCTGGCTTATGCCTGTATGAATAAAGTTGTACTACTCTAAAGGTCTTCCCCTTGCAGTGCTTCTCAATAGCACGCGCGGAATCGTAATCGCAACGTAGTTTTTGTGGTGGATGCCAATCAAGGCGTTTCCATGACTGCCCTTGAAATTTTTTTGTGTTTTCCGACAACGACATGGAAACACTTTAATTTACCGTCCACCAAAATATGGTTTTGCAAAGACAAAATTGTCATAGAAGCAATTTCATTGACGTCTACCAAAAGCTTATGTTGTCGAGACGGCAAATTGTACGATTCCGCGCGTGCTATCGAGAAGCACTGTAAGACTAAGATAAATAAGACAAATGATTTGAAGTTCTTTTTGACAGGGTGTGGATAGGGTCACGTGGTCTTTGCTTTTAAGCCTTGGTGTTTGTTATCACGCAAAGCTACGTCAGCGTTCTGACTTCCGAAGAAATGTTGTATCAGCGTGCGAGTTTCCGCTGAAGAATAACATAAACGAAAAACAAATGAAGACAGAAATTCTCAGGTGAGAATATGTAATTATAACTCATATTATAGTTTATAACAGCCGTCTTGCTGGTTGTAGTCTCCTTAGGGACCAGTCATTATTTAAGTCGGAGGGGGTGG